CGACATCACACCCTACACAAATCATATCTACCTCCAACGGAACAAGTCGAGACGCAAGTTGAACGATGGCGCTGCTTCGCCCGCTTCCCAGACTCAACAGATTCAGAGGCAACCAAAGGGCGCACGAAGAGAGTCGGAAGATGAGAATGCAGGCACCTACATGTTGGAATGGGCTGCCATGGAGGCTGAACGCCAGATGCAAGAGGCTGCTCTGGCAGCGTTCCCCAACAGTCGCCCGCGTGAGGGAGGCGCCGCCCATTTCTACTTCAGAGAGAGCTCGGGAGACGACAGCACGCCAGAGAGCGTCTCACCACAGCAGACCGGTACTCAGGCCAAGCAAAGGGGCCGCCATGGCCATGCTCCCCGCCGCAAGTCTTCAGAAGTTGGATATTGGCAAAAGGAGATGCAGAAGCATGCCCAGGATCTGGCTGTTGCCAGAGGCGAGCACGCGCCTGTCTTTGACGATGACGACGACGAAAGCACCAAGAACGATTCCGAACTCGACAGGATGGAACTCGACACCCCGCCGGATCCCATGTGGTTGACGAACAAGAGGAACCACACCACCGACACCAGCTCCAAGGGACCATTGGAACCGATTGGCGAGAGTTTCATGCCGCTGATCGCGCCTGACCCAATCGCTACCCAAGATACGCGGCGCCCGGAGCTTCCTCCCCCAGAGCCGGTGAGCAAGCCCATTGGCGAAACTGGCATGCCATACATTCCGCCAGACGCGGCCAGCAAGCCTGCCCAGGTGCCTATCGCTGCACCTGCGCAGGTCGTTCCCGAAACTGGCTTCCGAAAGCCCCAAGGCGGATTTGGCCGCCCGTTCGGCAACTTCGGACTCCCTGCGGAGACGAGCGAGTTTCGCAAGATGCGCAAGGCGGCGTCCCCGCCGATGCTGGGCAAGGACCTGATTTTCCGAAAATGCCCCTCGCCGAAGCAGACCAAGCTTGAGCCGGACCACCCCTTCACCGAAGGCCCGACCGTCGAGGAGAGAAACAGGGATGCCACGGGCGAAGCCGGCTTGTGGAGGGGCTACTGCTTCCGGGGCAGCGAAAGCGATCAGGCCATTGTACCACCACATCTTCAAGGCCCCAGAATGCTGCATACACCGCTTCCAGCCGCCACCCCTGCGGACCCATTCGCCGCAGCCTTTAGCAAGAGCTCATTGACGGATGAGCCTGGATCGGACTATGCGTCTGCGACTCTGACACCAAACACAGCTGAGCACCGCGTTCGATCAGGCGAGGCCAAGGGTCTTCACATGCTCGCTGGCCTTGAGGACCGCCTCAAGCGCGAAAAAGCATTGGAGGAGAAGATTGCATCGGAATTCGACGACATCTTTATCACGCAGGTCTACAACTACTTGTCGCTGGGATACCCCGCCATGGCAAGGGCCTTTGACGAGGAGCTCGCCAAGATTGCTCAAGTCAGCGTCGAAGAGCTTGAAGCTGATGACGCGAAGCAGATGGCAAGTGGTCATTTGATGGAGCCGGCTGAGGCTGAGTTGGCAGAGGAGAAGAGATGCCCGAGATGGAAGGCGCTAAAATCCTACATCTACGAGTGGGCTAGACAACACCCGGATCTGGACAGCCTGGATTCCCTCGCATGGGGTGTACGAGAGAGACGAGGCAGCTGGGCCATTTAGACGGTCGACACAACAGTACGAGAGAAAAAAAAGCAAATGTGCAGTTTTTGACATTTCGCCATTAGAGACGAGGATTCAACGGGCAACACAGCATGGTCGAACCGAGCAGAAGAGCAGCATACTGGGTGATTTGATAGAGGCAGTGCGATTTCAATGAGGCGTTTCATATTGTCTCTCACCTTTCTCAACAGGGAGAACGTTTTTTGGCAGCAACCGGCATGATTTGGTGGTTTGATACAGGACAAAACACGAGGTGTTGAGGGCCTAGAACGATAAGAGGAGCTGCAAGCTCGCATTCTAGATGCTGCCTGTGGGGTCAAAGCAGGTGGAGAGGAACAGCATTCGGACACAAACGGGAATGGGCCGCAGCAACGTTGTGGGTCACGTCGAGAAGAGGATGCAGAGTGCAGATGCTCCCAACGCGGAGAATTTGAGGCATCAGTGAGGATGACAGAATGTGCACGAACCCTACCTTCAGGGGTGCTGACACCGCAGAGGGCAATGGGTTTTCAATAGGTACATTGGAATGCGAATTCAACGGCAACGGCCGTTTGATTTGACTCAGTATCTCGTTGCTGCTTCTCACTGCGGTGGTTTCTCACTGCGATGATGTATGCACGTTCATGTGACTGCTTTGTGAACATGATCTGCGCACAACACACATTGATGAGGTTACGAGTACTAGTGACGAGTGTGGAAGAGACAAACACATTCATGGGTGTCACAGCACGGTTCAAGACGAGGGCATTTCCAACAAAATAGCCTTCAGCCTAAGCTCGTTAGTCCTGAGCGGCCAAATTCCAACAACATCTTTCTAGCCAAGAGGTCTATAAAACGTCTCGTGTGTTGCTTGACACCTTACATAGCTCTGAACAATGAAACCATCTGCTATTCAACTGAGTAGGTTGAGGTCAGGGAAAACTTTCATGAAAGCTCGGCGGCAGGTGTGATATATTATGGGATGTATAAAGCCAAAGTTTGAGAACCTGCCTGAGCCTGGAACCGATGCCGTATACGGCTTTGCTATCGGCATCTGGGGCAGCCGCCGTTCGGTGCGGGGCCGGCGGTCGAAGCCCGTCTTTATTCTTTTACATTCTCGTTGGACTTTGGTGCTTCTTGAACTCCGAGTTAAGACGACACCATGCCCGACTTCTGTGATCCCAGTCACAATCAGCACTTTTAGTCCTTCTCTTTGACCCCTTCTTCCAGTCTCGTTCAACTTGAGTTGCCACTCACATCCCCTTCTGAGATGAGTTTACTCCTCTTAAACCTAACTCGTTTCTGGTGCAGAATTCGTATCAGTACGAGCATCGCCGTGGTATCAAAGCCAAATCAAGATCAAATGCTCATAAACTCGCTCGAAAGCAATTCAATTCCACAGATCCTATCATGACATCAAGCCTTTCTTCCAAACCCCCCAACAACATCCGCAAAACCCTCACACAAAGAACTCGTTGATCGTCTTAACAACCTCCTCGGGCGCCTGCTCCGGGATATAATGCCCACTCTCCACACTCCTCCCCTGAACCTCAACCCCCTCCCCAGCAACCTTCCTCCACTCGCCCACCGCATCAAAACACTTCTCAATCACCCCGTGCTTCCCCCAAAGCACAACAAGCGGCGTCCGCAACACCCTCCCCTCCCTTAGATCCGCCTCCGCCTCTTCGAGATCCAACGTCGCGCTCGCGCGGTAGTCGTTGCACATGGCGCCCACGGCCTCCGGCTGGCCCATGACCTGCGCGTAGAACTCGAAGTCCTCCTCTCTGAAGATTTGCAGGCCCGTGAGCTGGCGTCCGCCCATGAAGAGTTCGAGAAACTTGCGCGGCGCGGCGTTGATGAGGGTTTCGGGTAAAGGCGAGGGTTGGATGAGGAAGAACCAGTGGAAATACGCCTTTGCGAAGTCGAGGTTCGTGGTCTTGTACATCACCAGCGTGGGGCAGATGTCTAGGAAGATTGCCTTGCGGATGCGGGAGGGGAAGTCTACGCATAACTTGTGCGCGACCCTCGCGCCGCGGTCGTGGGCGCAGACGTAGAAGGAGGTGTCCTCGTCGTAGCCTAGGGAGTCCATGACGACGATGCAGTCCCGCGCCATGGCGGATTTGGCGTAGGAGGGGACGCCATCTGGTTTCGAGCTGTTGCCGTAGCCGCGGATGTCGATTGCGATGACGGTGTAGCGGTCTTTGACGGCGGTTGCGACGCTGTGCCAGATGTGGTGGCTTTGGGGGAAGCCGTGGAGGAGGAGGAGGGGCGGGAGGGGGGAGGTGGTTGCGTCGCCGCTTTTGATGCCGTGGATTACGACGTCGGGGGAGGTTTGGGTTGTTACTGTGAAGGGGGAGAAGCCTTCAAAGGTCGTCATGGCGTATTGTTATATCGTATTTGAGTTGATATAGATATGATGGTTGAAGATTGGATCAAGTAGGTTATTTAGTATCTACGTCTTAACTTTCTGGAATTGTGTGAGATGTCTGCGATGCAGTTTCTTGGGGTTTATAATACCAGGATGGAAGTTGACGCCCTTTGCGATTACATGCGGCTAATATTTGACGCGGAGTAAGGTAATGCGATGTGACGCCACGACTTGCCCGCCCACGTTTACTCATCTTACACGGCCAAATGTCGATTTTCCCCGCTCGCGCTAAGATCGCTGACAAGACGATTAGGATGACTGCTTTACGCCGCCACAGCGCTATGAACACGAAGGTTTATATCATCGGGATAGTGCGTATTTTTCCCGTCTAGACATTTTGAGCTCCTAGATATCGGCTAAATTGAACAACCGCGGGTTCTGAGAAGCCGAACGCATAGTTTGGAGAGCCAGAGTCGCACTGTTATCGACTTCCATCTCCCACATTGCAATATGTCTCTTAACCACAACGCACGACAGTCCACTTCGAAGCGAACCTCTGGGATCTCTCAGGTGGGGGAGAGAGCCTTGACCGTTCCGATGCTTTTGTTCCCAAGAGACCCAACCACACACAAGACCCATCCCTGTCCGACCCTAATCCACGTCATGATCCACTATCTACGACACACAAACATGAGCGCCTAGGGCTCGTCAGATTGTCATCCCCGCCTCAAAGCGGGTTGATTCCACGGCGTTGTGGCAGAGTGGTCTAATGCGCAAGACTAGAAATCTTGTTCCTTCGGGAGCGTCTGTTCGAATCAGGCCAACGTCGAATTATTCTTTTGCTGGATCCCCAGATTCTAATTTTTGTAAGTTTTGTTGAGATGAGTGACTTGCTCGTGAACTTTCATGACCTTGCTGTTACCCAGGGTGAGCGGTGCCCTCAGATATAACTCGAAGAAGTAACGGAATGAATGGTTACATGGTTGGTTGAGATCACGGCCCTCACCCTTGAAATCCCCGAAAAGAAAACCCCCTCCCAATCTCGTCACCCTCCTCCATCACAAACGTACTCGAGCCAGTATAATAAGCCTGTCCACTCACCTCAACCCTCCAAGCCCTCCTCCCACCAACCTCAACCTCCTCCACGGGCGTCCCTACAAAAGCCCCGCGATCCCCGCCAACACTCCTCGATACAAGACTGTGATATGTCCACGACTGGCCCAGTTTCCTCTCGCCCCGCGCAGCAGCTAACGCAACACGCGCCTGCACGACTGAACCCGTTGGACTCCGATCAATTTGCTGGTCGCCGAAGAAATACAGCCCCGTCTCCGCGCCCGCGCAGCCTTGTGCTGTAGGGAGGACGTTGTTACTACCTGTGTCGGTGACCATGATGCCGTAGAGATACTGCGAACCCGGAACCGTCTCGTCGTCTGCGGGATCTTCAAGGCGGGCGCGGAGGTCTGCTGAGGCGTTGAAGGCTTGCTTGAGCTTCTTGGTTGCGTTACTGAGGCCGCTGACGTCCGGCTTCGAAAGAGACGACGGAAAGCCCAGAGCCGCAGTGGAGACGACGGCATAGAATGCACCTCCGAACGCAACGTCTATCGTCACGGCTGCGGCGTCACCTAGCTCCGGCCAACCTAGATCCCGCGGGATCGGAATAGAGAGATCGACAGCCGTAGCGAAAGTCGGCACAGAAAGAAACGTAATGCGCCTTCCCGTATCCGTCTTCCACCCCGAGATGTCCCCGGTGCTGCCATCCACATCCACCCTCACAACAGGAACCGTAAGTCTCACCACCCCAACGGGCGCATGCAACCTGACCTCCACCGTCTGCCGCTCCTCATCAACAACCAGCTCCCGCCGCCGCGGGAAGACCGTCTCGTCCGCGCAGTCGACGAGGAACCTGCCGAGCGCGAGGGTGGCGTGCCCGCACATCGCGCCGTACCCCTCGTGCGTGAGGAATAAGGCGCCCATGTGCGCTTCGCCAGCGTCGACGAGTTCTGTGTGGGGCCGGAGGACGGCGCTGTACATGTCCGCGTGGCCGCGCGGTTCATAGATTATGCTGCGGCGGATGTGGTCGTAGTCGGTTTGGGCGAGGGAACGCTGTTCGAGGAGGGTGCCGCTGGAGGAGTGGAATTGGTCACCGGTTAGGGGATGGGGTCTCTCATTGAGGGTGAAGGTGGTTTACTCGTGATGTGAGAGATGCTGGTGGAGGTAGACTTACGGTATGTCTGGGTAGCCGGCGTATACGATGCGCGCCGGCTCTCCGGCCGTGTGCATCTCCACGGTCCGGATCTCGGTGCCCGCGAAGGGCGGTAGGAAGGATGGCAGGCTCATGATGGGTGAGTCAACCGAAGATTCGTAAGTTTGATGCTCTCTATAAGCCACGAATTCCACTTGCTGTCAAGGTTTTTGGGAAACCTGCACGGGGGATGATGTAGTTGCAAGAAAGGGCGCAGCGTCAGCCGCTGACATCCGCTTCGCAATCCTCCGAGTCGGGCCCCACCTTTTCCGGCCGCGGGTTGCCGATGTCGGGGTGCGTCCACCGTGACGGCGGCGCCGGAGCGAGTGCATGTCGGCATTCCGTAAATCAAGGGGTGTCTCTCAGTGCACATATCGAATACCAGAAGTCCTGGTGAACAGATCCTGATGAACAGAACCTGATGAACAGACAGGCTACTCAAGACTCGAGATGATCAAAACCCATAATGCTTCCTAGCAACCACGGGCAAGATCAAGCTCAGATTAGCAACAAGCAGCTCGCTCACAATTTGGTCAAACATGAATCACTCAGGCAGGACGATGTAAACATGGCTTAAGCAATCGTATCGATTCCCTTGAGAGACCCTCACTTCTTGCAGTCAAGCAGCACGCCTTTTCAGGCGCCAGACTACCCAACAACCACCACGTTTCGCTGCCGCCATCTTTGCTACTAGCTAAGTCCTGAGCTACCCTCAATGGAGTGAAGAGTCATGTTTTGAGATTGCATCTTCTGCAACGGGGTTCAAGTGTTGAGATGAAAACTCGGTTTCGACTTCTCCGACACGTGCCTTGACCTGCCGTTTGTCTCATATAGGTATTGATCGCTGGTGGCCTTTCGTGGGAGAGGTTCTGTTATAGTTCACCATCACGAACACCTACTGCGTTTTGGGATGTCGGGGTTCATCACAAATATGCTCACACTCAACAGCTCTTTGCCTCTACCAGGTTATACGGCGGCCAACTAAGTAATTGGTATCTGCGGCTGAGAACCAACTTATGATGGTAGCGTATGGTGTTGGCAGAAGGTAAAATAAACCCATTCTCGACAGCTTGAAGCCCCCAATAGTATTTCCTTTTGGTTCTGTAGTCGTATGCGAATTGAGAGGAGAGATCTGCTGCATAGTCAACATGGTATGAAGAGGCTCGCTCAAACCAAAGTCTCTTGGGAAATGAGCCCACAGGCTTGTAAGCAGAAGAAATCCGTGATCTCCCCTCCGCAACCAAGTAGTGACCGCCTTAGGGACCGGGAAGACCCTGACTCAAATAGGCCGCCGTGCGAGCCATACGGCTGCGAACTGATCCGACGTTCACAATTACCAAACTCTGGTTCCGAGCTTCCGCACTCAACTTCGGACGCCCCCCTTCAAAGGCTGGAAGTGGTTTGTTCACGGGGGCCTTGAGACTCGCCGAATCGGCAGCGGTAGCGATATCGACCACTCTCAGTGACTTGCTCACCCTAACTGTGACTGGAAGCCGTAGACCCCTTACTCGCCTCGGATTCTCCCAATCCTGCTCTTGAACAAACGCTGTTTATCCGATGTTTCTGAGGGGATGTAAGTGGCGATTTGACAATGGATCGAGGCCTCCGGTTCTAGAAGCTGGTGTTGAAGAGATTGACAAAGACGAGAGGGTCGATGAGGGGGCGAGTAGTCACCTGCAAGTGATTTACGCACTTTGACTAGGGCGATGAATGCTGTCACCCTCAAAAGTATCTCATTTCGAGAATGAAGATATACTAGTGCAACCATTGTGAATTGACGAGAAGTGTCAGCCTCCCGCCACCCGACACGGGCAGCCTATTGAATCGGAATCAAGAGTCCAGTCTATTCCCGTTCATAGGATTGTATCCTGCCCCGAAGAAGGCTGCACCCTTGAAGCCAATCGCAGCCCTACCATCTTACGCTTACACCAACCATCGTCCTCACCTAATTACCCAGATCTCACGCACACCACAAGTCTATTCATGGCCACAATCCTCCTTCCCCTCATCTCACACCTCTCTCAGATCAAGTGAAGAGTCCCGTAAGACTAGCCGCAATGATCCTAGTACGAACGGGATCGTGTTCCGCCGTATCAGGTTCACGGCCACATTTCTGACAAGACTCACGGGCTCCTGCAAGATCGTCTGCGGGTGAAGCCTGGAGCTGAACACACATACCTTCCCTCTGATGCATCGCCGGCCCGTCGGTAAGCCCTGTATCCCAGTCTTGCCCATCATGATCTCACTCTACAGTACCTGCTCACTCAAACACCCGAAAATCTCGTACTCTAAACCCATACCATCGAAGTACTGACAAACCAGACACGATTCATCCACCATTCTGAACTTCTGGTCCAGGCCTACACGCGTGGCCTCTCCCCATTCGAACTTGCATGATCAGCACGACAGATCCGGTTCACGAATCTCGAGTCCAAACTGGGAGTGGGGTGGGTGTATGCACCACCGCACGACCTCATGTGCAGAAACCATTCCACATAACGATCCGAAAATCTCACACCAAGGCTACTAAAATGTAAAAAGGTCACCTCCCTCTCCTCCTGCCCGTCTCGGGCGTCGGGAAACTTTGCTAGAATGTGACCCTCCTTTCTTCTACGTTGTTGTTCTTTCTATCCTGTACTTTCTCCCGCTGCAACTCTAATACCTGTTACCAGCCCGCTTCCCGAACCCCTTAGCTCAGACCTATCACCCTCAGACCGCAAAGTTTCATCAACAGAGCTGCAGAGAAGAGAGAGAGAGAGAAAACACTCCATGAAGCTGCAGCAGCGCTTCTACCGCGCGCTCTCGAGATGCACATCTCACCCCCAGTGTACGGGCCCCCTCTCTCGACACTATCCCTCCTCCGCCTCCTCTTACTCCTCCTGCTCAGCAACATCGTCCTCGGCAGCACAACAACCACTCTGACCCCGACCACAACCAACACACAAAATCAAAGAAATGAACCAGCGGCACCCCCGAACCGCGCCTACAAGGTCCCGCACCTAACCATCACTCCGGCCCCGGACCCGGTCTTCGCATCGCACCGTCTTCTCCGCGCCCGCCAAGGCGACCCCCGGTCCTCGGACGGCCGCACGAATTTCATCGCGTGGTACTCCCAGTCCGGCGCCTGGGTATCGGCGACATGTCCGGCAGACAATTACTTTGCTGCGGATAGTAAGTTTGGGGTCTGCTGTCCGCGGAACAATCCCTTCTGTGAGATGGCGACATCGTGTGGCGGGCCGTTTGGGAATTATGCTGTTGGGCCGACTGGACAGGCAGACTGGTAAGGACTGACCACTTTCATTTCTTTCCTTTTCATGCCTGACCGAATCTTGGGGATCATGGAAGATTGCGCAAAAAGGACGCGTGCTAATCGGAGAGGGTAGTGGACCGAGCAACACGTGCGACACAATCACCATGCTCCAAACGCAAGGCAGCACCGACGCGAGGAGAATTATCTTCTGCATCGCCATGTCGGAGCTCTACGTTCTCCCCATGACTTGGTACCGCGTCACACATCCACGTAAGCACCCCGGTCCCTTTCCCCTTGACCCCGTTACGTACGAGACTCTATCCTGGACTATTTTTTACCTACGTGTAATTCTAACAACACGGGTTTCCGCGTTCTTCTAGTCCCAGAAGCCTCCGTCGCAACAGTAACGGTGACCCAAAGCACAACGGTGACGGCGACTCCCCGGGCCGGAGGGAGCCGCATGAGTGGGCAAGCCAGCAGCCCCTCACGTTCGCCGCCTGCCATGATAGCTCTGGTGGTGGCTGCGATGATCTCGTGCTTGGCTCTTGCTGTACCATGAGGAAGCCTTCATGAGTCAATGTAGAGACACAGATGGGCCACCGCGTCTTGGATTTAGTTTACCACACCCATGGCTAGGCAAGCCTGCAACTACCCCATATTGAAGACAGTTATGGTGAGCCAAGTTACTAGGGCTGGCGGCACTGTAATCTCACGCATGAGGCAATACAGTTGCAGAGCCCGTTCTTCGCTAAAGAAAGCGGCCATGTTGCAAAGAAAGCAATTAGGCCAGAACGGAAGAAAAGTTAGGGATCATGAGGCAGGGTATTGGACAGTGTAGAAGAAACCACGACGATATCAATGAACTGGCGGAGTTAAACACAAGGTAAACTTACCTTATCTTGATAGGGGCATCACCAGACAGGGACGGGAAAGAGACAATATGCTCGGCTAAACTCCCACACGTACTCAGTACATGACCAGCAGCTTCCAACTGTACATCTTTTTCTAGCGAGCACAAAACGCATAGACCATCTTTTCTTTTAATCGGTATCAATGGAAATCTTTTCCCATTGATACAATCACTAAAGGGAACATTGTTTTCCACGAAGAGTCCAGGTCTTCATAGGCCCGAGGGTACCTTTCTCGTCGGCCGCATGTGGACTCCCTGCCCGGCACCCACCGCCGGGCCCACGCCGGGACTAATCGGCCCAGCCCGCCCTTCCAATCTTTACATCCTCAACCTCCATGAGTTCATATCCCATCGTCACCGCAACGCTTCCCAAAACATTCCAATCCCAAGCAGCCCAAATCCCACGTTCATCGGAGCCCTCTGAATACGGATCACCCCATTTAGCTGCACACATTTGTTTCCAGCCATTTTCCCCATGCCGTAACCGATCCGTGCCTTAGTAGGTACTCTGCGCATCGGTCAATCCGATTTTCCTCCCCAGCGCCGTTTGCTGGCGCTGATTCATCCATACAAGCAGGCCATTGACCTTGAGACCCTTGGCCGAGCCTCGACTCTCACGACGTACTCGATACAGTCTCGATTGCGGCGAAGAAGACATGGAAGATGAGGGCTAAGGGTAAGTACTGAGCGGCCATCCATGATGCATGATGCCGCCGCCATAGAGGTCAAGCTCACTTGAAGCAGTCTCCGCGATGTAGACTTACTATACACGGCCACATGACGTTCTCTTTCTCATTCATCAATAGCACGGGTTGAAAAGTTTTATACATCATATTCTACAGCTCAAATGTTGGCTAGCCTCTTTTGACGTCCGCTAGCTGGCAATAAAAGATGCTATGTATTGGGCATACAGTCACAACGCCCGCAAATCAACGCTCTTCTCAATCCGGCTGTAGGGCAGATATATCGCCTGCGCGCTCAATGCGCAGGAGTCCTCCGCGACGTCCACGGTCATCGCTATCCCCGCGGTCCGCCCCCGACCCAGAGCCGTGAGGCAACGGGCCTGGGAAGCGCCCGCTTCAGATGCTGCTGAGCGTCACGCGAGGGAAACCCTCTCTAGCGTGTCGGAATGAGCCAAGTAGTACAGCGCCAAACTCCCCTATCGTAGGGTACCAGGCGCATTCAGTCGTCCTCCCCACGCCACATAGCGACTTTTGGACCCAAAAAGCTGCTGCTACTCATTATGCCCCTCTACTCTTCTTCCGAATCCGAAGACTCACTGTCATTGTCGTGAACAGGAGCTTCGTGCGCACGACCGGAGCTACCGGGTCGCTCTTGATCACCCGGTTCCTTGCCGTCGTACATATTGCGAAGCCGCTCGAGCTCGGCAATGCGAGCCTCTTGCTCTTGAGCATTCATGGGCTTGTTCTTCTTCGACTTGGACGGCTTATTGGCCGACGACTTTGCCGCTGCGTTGTTCACTGGTGATGCTTCACGTGCTGGTCCATTCGAACCCAAGCCCTGCCCAAAGCTTGGCAAAGTCTTTTTGCACAGATCCCACAACTTGTGAAGCGCCTCGTTGGTGAGTTGGTCGATCTCCAATTCGAGTTCGCCACTGCTATTTTCCTACAAAGATGGTTAGCATATATCTAATGAAGGTAATAAATCGGTTTGTCTTACCGATTGGCCAGTATCTTTCTTGATGATGTCGATGGCACGTTCTATATGAGGACTCTCAAGTTCGTTAATAGCGTTCGCGATAGCATCCTTCTCAGCTTGGTTCATGTTTCGTTGCTTGGGTTTCTTGGCCACGCCGCCACCGCTCTTCTTCGAGACGGGAGCCGCGGCTGCCTTTTTCGCGGGGACATTAGCCGCCTTCGACTTAGCAGGCTTTGGCGGCTTGGCCTTGGCGGCGCTCTTGGCAGGCTTTGTGGTGGTGAGCTTGGCCTTCTCGTCTATGAGACGCTGCCGGATAGTGGTGAGCAAAGACTGCTGAAGGTCGATAACAGCGTCACTAGCGATGTCCGCCGTCTTGTAGAGCTCGGTCAACTGCTTCGTCTCCTGCTCGAGACGCTTCTCCAGGAATGCAATCGTGGCAGCCACCGAGGGATCAACTGCAGGGGCTGGCGCCTCTTCCTCTTCCTCGGCTTCGTCTTCACTATCACGACTTGAGCCGTCATCCACTGGCTTGGCGGGGGTGTGCTTGTTTATCCACTGCTCCTTCTTTGACCACAGACCCCTGAAGATTTGCTCGAGCTGTTGGCCTTGCTCGTAGACGGGCTGACCAGGTTGATTGAACTTGTAACAGTTCTTAAAGACCTGCTTGACATCTGTTTGAAACTCCTTGATACCAGGATAGTCATAGCTCTTGAGCTTGGCCATAATCGTACCAAAGTCCATCGGCCGCTTGATGATGGTAAAATAGGTGGGGATGGCTAGAGCCACGGGATCGACCGGGGACAGGAATGCGAGGTTGCAGGAGGCGTTCTTGGGATCCATCAGTTCACTGACAACCTCGTAGCAGAATTGAAGCTCGATGGGCAACTTCTTCCGGTTGAAGGTCTTGGAGGAGTAGTCGGGGTCGCGATTCTTGGTGGGCTGGATGGCGCGCTTGGGGCGGTCCAAGTCATTCTGGGTCGAGGCACGGCGAACTTGCGGCACACCACCAGGAGGAACGGCATAGGCTTCGGCCTCCGCCTTTGCCGGCGGGCTCGCGGCAGCAATGCTAGGCTGTCTACGAACAGGAGGCGGAGGGGCTGATGTCCGTGACTCTGAGTATCGGGAGGGCTTCGGCACTGGCTTCGACTTTGCGGGCTCGTCGGAAGGAATCTCGCAAACGCGGGTCCAGGCTAACTTAACCACACTAAGCGCCGCGAATGTGATTTCATTGTTGATGCCGTTGAAAGTGACGGAGTTCTTGTAGATCAATCCAAGATCATCCTTGAACTGACGCAGGCTGCTGTACTTGTTGTCGCGCAGGCCTCGCTCAAGCTCGCCGATATCCATGGGTCTGTTAACCCGCATGAGATAGCTCTCAGCAAGGCTAGGCCACATCCTGACAACCGCGTCCTTGAAGTGAGCGCCGTGTTTGGTTTTCTTTACACCCGCTAACACCTTGCGGAATTCTCTCGTTTGGTGAGATGTAAGGGGTTTGGGGTCGCGTGCGGCATCGATCCATGAAGGGAGGTCTTCGAGAGCCGATTCGCCTTTGGCCAAATCGTCCTGCGCGCCTTGGGGCTTAACCTCGACGGTGGACTCGATGGCTCCATCATTCGAATCGGTCTTCGCGCGCTTGGGAGCGGGCTCAGCATCCGCGTCATCTTCTCTCTCGCGAGAAACCTTGCTAACGGTTGATGGCGCCTCCGCCATGGGCACGTCTTCGTCTGCGGGCTTCGGGGGCTTGTCCTTTTCCTTGTCATTGTCAATGGCCAATTGAGACAAGCTTGCTGGTTGGAGATCTACCTCTTGATCAGCGGCAGTCGTAGGAGCCGCCGGCGACTCGTCCTTTGCTCCGTTGACCTTGTCGTCGCTCTCCTTCATTTCGACGTCCTTGTCTTTGGTTTCTGTCGCAGCCTTCGCAGGCTCAGAAGCCTCCGCCTTTTTCTCAGTTGCCTTCTCCTCTGGCTTTTCGTCGGTCTTCTTCTCCGCCTTTTCGACCTCTGGCGCATCGGCCATATCGACGTCGTTGGGAAGCTCAGCAGGGGGGGGGCTCAAAGACTTGCTAGGTTCCTTGCTTTCCTTTGACTGCTCAGGCTCCGCGGACTTGGACTTGGCAGAAGATTCGTCGGCCGGTGCAGGTGACTTTTTGGCTGGTTCCTCTTTCTCCGTTTCCTTCTCGTTGGCGGCAGTTACTTTCGCATCGGACGACGACTTCACTTCCTCATCGTGCTTCCTGTCGCCATTGGTTTTGGGTGACTTTGCGGACTCATCTGCCTTCTCGGAGCTCTTCTCAGCAGGGGAGGTGTGACTGTGGAAGGAGAAGCAATCATCAGCAATTGTGCTCTGAGAGAAGCCGTGCGAACGGGCAAATGAAGTCCATCGCACAACAAACGCAACTACTACTCACCCATTGGTTTCGGGCTTACTATCGTCCTTTGCTGGTGTGGATTCGGTCGGCTTCTGATCCGGGACGGCGCGTTCTGATTGAGGCGACGCCATGACTGCCATATGGTGTTTGAGGTAAGGGCAGATTTACTGTGCGCGACGCAACATGAAGGTAGCGACGCGCGCAGATGTCTTTCAGGTTGCGGCGATGGCGGGATGCACAACAAGGATTCGGTTGGCCAACGTCGGGGATAGCGCCTTGGTGTTGCTGACTCGAGCGGCGGTGTATGCGCAAACCAAATCCTATGACTTTGAAGTCGTCGCGCGTGAAGCAGTAGCAATCGCGTCGATGACTCGAGATACGAGAGGATGTGGCGAGGCAGGGACAGCTGGGAGCAAAGAGCCGGCGCGGTTTTGGTTGTAATTAGAGAAGGTGCGTCGCGATGCTTTTGGATGCACGCGCGAGGCAAGCAGGATCGACAGAGGCGATTGTGGGAGATGGAGGTACCGAAAATATCGCGGAATATCCGAGGAAAGATTCGAGAATGCGCCGACGATGGGTGACGATGCGCAATTGATTATATGGTGGTGTCGCAAGTCGAGGTGATCGTCGGTTGCG